CTCCGGCAGTCGGCCGTGCGGGGGGTTCTTGGGTTATCAAAAAAAAAAAAAATTTCATATAGTTCAGGGACTAAATTGACCATGTACCAAAAGTTCGGGGATGACATTAAACAAATTAAAAGTTCAGGGGCCACATTACACATTGGATTAAAGTTGAGGAACTACATTGAACAAATTAAAATTTCATTGACTAAATTACAAATTGGACCAAAGTTCAAAGACGTTTGTGTCATTTTCCCTTATAGGATATTGAATGCGTGACCCACTTAAGATACTAATCTCGTGGACTAGTTTTAGGTAGCTGAGCGTTGCTCTTCTAAAAATGGTGGACCTTCTAGTCCTCTTCGAATTAGTATCTCACATTTGTGACCTACTTAATATATCGATCATTCTTCTTCTTCTTTTTCGGGGCCTAATTCCCTAAAAAATCCAAATTTTAGGTTTAGCCCCAATTTTACAACTTTTGTTTTGTCTAAAAAAATCTCCAACTTTTATTATAGTCCCAAATTTACCCTTATTAACCCTTCGTTCAAAATTACCGTTAGTCATCTAATGTGGCATTCCCACGTCAACTATAAATCCACGTCGTCTGCTTATGCTGATTTTTCGTCACTATTCATTAAGGAAAAGTGTTGAAAAAGTCCTAAACCTTTTGCATTTGTGTCAATTTAGTCCTAAACCTTTTTTTGGTGTCAAATGAGTCATAAACCTTTTGTCTTTGTGCCAATTCAGTCCTTCCGACTAATTTTGGCCGGATTTTGGTGACGTGGACGCCGGCTAACCTACGTGACGCCGCCGGCGCTGATGTGAATAATTTTTAATAATTTTTTGATTTTTTAATTATTCTTTATGATTTTTTTTTCCTTTTTCGTTCTTTTCTTTTTTGGCTTTCTTCAACCTTTTTCCGGTGACCAGCCACCAACGATGGCCGGGCTCCCCTTGCCAGATCTAGCAGGGCCTCGCCCAGGCCAAATCTGGCGAGGCCGGCCCTGGCCCAAGCCACGGCGGCCTCGCCAAATTTAGCGAAGGGAGCCCTCGCCGGGGCTCGCCCAGGCCGCGCCGGGCGTTGCCTGGCCAGGCGAGGTCGACCCTCACCCAGGCGAGGCAGCCCGGCTAGCCATGGTCGGTGGTCGGCCATCGCCGGTGGTAAGTGGCCGGTCACCGGAAAAAGGTGGAAGAAAGCCAAAAAAGAAAAGAAGGAAAAAGGAAAAAAATCAAAAAAAATAATTAAAAAATCAACAATTATTAAAATATTATTAAAAATTGTCCACATCAGCGCTAGCGATGCCACGTAGGCCGGCCGGCGTCCACGTCACCAAAATTCTGCCAAAATTAATCGAAAGGACTGAATTGGCAAAAAAATAAAATGTTTAGAACTGAATTGGCACCAAAAAAATGTTTAGGCCTAAATTTGTACCAATGCAAAAGGTTTAGGACTTTTTTGACACTTTTCCCAAAAAATCTGTATTTAGAATAATAATTGTTTTTAAGTGGTTGTAATTAGTGGGCTATAGATACCCATGATAGTGTAACGGCACGATCACCATGATTGATTTTACAGTTTCCAATATTTTTTATATATGTACTAATTTCTAGTCTTTTAGTTTTCTAGTCGTTTCACTTCGCACACGTATTTTATAATCCTTGTATTTTATTTTTCCCTTAAACACACCACAGACTTCCTATCTAAAATTACCACAGAATTCACTTCGTCAAAAATCAAAGATTAATCTTTGATGAAAGATTTTTTACTGTTGGGGTAAAATCCTATACCAGGTGAAACACAACTAATTTAGCAGTCACTTGAATTCCTCATGCTTGGCCACATGCATTAGATTTTGTCATGCTACGAATCAACCTCACTAGGATAAAGTAGGAAACATCTTTCATGTTTAAAGGAATTTAATTTATGTCCCCTAAATATCCTATATTATTTATTTTGCAATATTGGATTTATGGGCAAATGTGTGAATTATAATTTTCTTTAATCTCTCACATATTTCAATGCTATAATTTAATTCTTTTCTATCCTTATATAAGCTTCTTAAAAAAATTTCAAATCTTGAAATATATGTAAATACGATTTTTTTGTATTGTATATTAATTTTATATGATTTTCTTTATTATTTCATCATTTGGAAATTTCGAAAAAAATAATAATTTTGTTGATCAAAACAATCCCAAAGTATCACTGACGGGATGGACTCGAGCCCAAGTCTCGCTATTTATGAACCCGAGCATCGAGGACTCGAGAACGGGCACTGGGGTCTTGGCCGGCCTCGATGGACCAACGTCCGGGTGCCGAGACCCAGGCACATGCACAGAAGTCCCGAGCCCAACCTCAATGGACTGGGTTTGAGCATTGAGGACCTGGGCATTAGAGTTTGGCCCATTTTCTTAAGATTTTTCCTTAACTAGAAAAATATTTTTCCTTAAACTCATTTTGTGAAGCAATCTAAACGCTAGAAAATAAGATAAAATTTTTCACAAAATAAATGGTCAATTTATTTTTATTTTCCTCCTTCCACTTGAAAAGAAAGAAGGATGAAGAAAAATGATTTCAGTTGCAATTCGAATGCATCGTAAACTGGTCGTGCTGATGTCGGGACAACCTTCGAGCGATGATGGTTTCGGTCGGTCCTTTCGTCGAGCTTCCTTCGTCCTGTAACTGGCAATGCACTGAATTTTCAGTGATTCGCTCGAACTCGAGCATGGAAGAGCCGTCCCAGTTTGGAAGATCGCGACGGTTTCCGGGAAAATTCCCAATTCTCCACACCGCCCTCATTCAAGACAGATTCGTGCATGATGTAAAGTCCAAGATTCAGATCTATTCTATGATCGTCCACGTTCCCACGTCGGAAGCATCTGAAGCGAAGTTTCTTTTTGCGGTTAAAAGTCTTCGCTTTCAAATGATTGAGGAGACATTTTTTTTGTTGCTTTCTCATAAAGAATTGAATTTTAATTGTGTTCCAAGTATCTGATGTGTCCGAGAAACATGCATATCTTTAAAATTTATGAACACTGCACGTTAAATTTCAACACAATTTTTAAGAAAGGAAGTTGGGTTTGTAATTGGTCTGAACAAGTAATCATGGGAAATTAAACAATTTGTGTGTGTGTGTGTGTCTCTCTCTCTCTCTCGTCTATATCGTATCTGTCAAAGTCAAATCCCACATAGTGTATTGCAAGGCAGATTCTGGGAAAGTGGAAAGGAAGTCATGTTGCGAATAAGTTCAACAGATTCTGGGGCAGGCTTTTTCTGCAAGTTGTTTGTGGAAAGGAGGCTTCAAAAGACAGAGCAAACTTCTTCTAGATGGGGTGCGAAAAGGTATTACTGTGGAGATCCTACTTTTTGTACTTGTTTGGTGACCCGTGCAAATGGATAGGCCAATGTCTTTTTCGAGAGCGACATTGTAGGGGAAATTTTCTAGACATTTGGAGACGTATTAGAAGTGTCGTTACCGGGTCAACCGATGAGTTGACAGCTGAGCATACTAAAACTTAGTCCCCAAGAATCTCTGTTATTGGTCCAGAAGGTCGAGACATCGTTGTGATGGTGATCCAGACAAATAATTAGAAGTCTTGCAGCTCCCATCTTGGTTTTAACGACTATCATCAACTAAACTAATACTTGAATTCTGGTGGTGTGGAAAACTGCAACAAGGTTTTGGAAAGATATGCAAGGGGCTCAGCTGCCTTCTCAGCTGAAGACTCCCATCAAACGTATCATTCATTTGGCCAGCTTATATACGGATCAGAACTTCTCCTCACCTGTTTCAATTCTTGTATCATCTCATCATGATATGCAGAACAATTGCAAATGCTCCAACCCCTAATCAAGTGTACAGTAGACCCCTCATTGCTAATTCTGGTTTTCATTATTCATTTACTCCTAGGAAAGCTATTCAGAGATCTAATTGTAAAACTCTGAAGATACACATCCGGGAAACTCTTCGTGCTCTTCCAACACAATGTTCGCAAAAGAAATTTGATTGGAGCACCAGGTTTCATGAAGATTCTTATCGGAGAAAAAGACTTCAAAGCAGCTATTCAGATACTGGGGAAAGTTCTGATCTACCATCTTATAGATCTGCAGACTTACCGGGTGTCGAGTACAAAGTCTTCTTGAGTTTCAGATGCCCAGATACTCGCAAAAAGTTTGTGGATTGCCTCTATACCAGGCTTGCGGATGCCAGAATCCGTGCTTTCAGAGACAATGATGAGCTCCCCATTGGAGGGAGGATCAGTTTGCTACTCCAAGCAATCAAGAACTCAAACATATGCATACCCATCTTCTCTAAAGACTATGCAAAGAGTGAATGGTGCCTGCTCGAGTTGGCACAGATGGTGGAATGCAGTAAACTAACTGGGCTGGAAATTCTGCCCCTATTCTACGATGTGGATCCATCTGAAGTGAAGCTGAACAAGGGACCATACTTAGAAGCCCTACCTTGTGCACCAATGGGAAGAGGCTCTGAAGGAGGTTGAAAAGATCAAGGGCTGGGAGTTAGAAAAGGACACTAATGGGCAACTTTCTCAGGCGCTGGCTGCTATTTTATTCCATTACTTATGAATTCGTTTTGGAACCTTGGTTTAGCTCTCTTAATCATGGAAACAAAACAAAATTGGGGAATCTGCAAAAAAGAAGTAGAACGAATTTCATTCTTGTCTATGATTATTGATATTGTCCTTTTTTTGTGTCTGTATCCATCGATAGTAATAAGACATGTTTGGAACTAAAGTTTTTTACCTCATCTTACTATCAGGTCCCTGGATGGACTAGAATGGCATAACTCATTCTCTGAAATTCCAATTTCCTTATTATGATGATCTTTCTATTGGAGTATTCTCATCTCTCTTGCCATCAACTCTCCACATAATGCAGGCATGAAGGAAAACTCATAGAATTAATACTTCGAAAAGTTCTGGTTAGCCTGAAGGTGCACCATTTGAATGTAACTGACCAGTTAGTTGCCATTGATGATCACGTGGATGAACTCATGGGAATGCTAAATGTGGGTTCCAATGATGTAAGGATCATGGGGATTCACGGAATGGGTGACATTGGCAAGACCACTCTAGCCAAGGTTGTTTTCAACCAGCTTTCAAGTCGTTTTGAGTACTGTAGCTTCCTCGCAGATGTATGAGAAACATCACAGAACAGGGGTCTCGAATTTTTGCAGAATCAACTGATCTCACACATCCTGCAAAGAAAGGGTCCAGAAATTACTAATGTCGATGAAGGCATTAACACAATCAAAGAGAGATTTTCAGGTAAGGAAGTTCTTATCCTTCTTGACAATGTTGACCAGAGAGCTCAGTTGAATGCGCTCGCGGTAAGGCGCAGTTGGTTTGGTCCAGGTAGTAGGATCATTGTTACAACCAGAAACAAAGATGTGCTCAATGTGCCTGAACTGTATTGGGCATATGAACTGGAAAGGATGGATGGAGATCGGTCCATTCAACTTTTCAGTAGGCATGCATTCAGAAGAGACCTCCTGATGATTATTTGGCTTACTCAAAAAAGGTTGTCGACATCATTGGAGGCCTTCCTTTAGCTCTTGAGACCATAGGTTCATTTCTATCTGGGAAAACAAAAAAAGTTTGGGATGACACGTTGAAGAAGTTGGAAAAAGTTCCTCGCAATGAAGTTGAGAAAAAGTTGAGGATAAGCTACGATGCTCTAGATCACTGGCAGAAACAGATCTTTCTTGACATAGTATGTCTGTTTATTGGATTTGACAGGAGAATTGTAGTTCACTTATGGGATGACGCTGATTTTTTCCCAGAGGAAGGTATTGAAGTCGTTCGTCTCATGTCTCTGATAAAGATTGGTGATGATAACAAGCTGTGGATGCACAACCAGCTTAGAGATCTTGGTCGAGAAATTGTTCGACAAGAAAGTAACATGGAATTTGGGAGGCACAGTAGATTATGGAACCATGAGGAAGCATTGCAGATATTAATACATAACAAGGTAAAGCGATTTCCTCTTTGACCATTACTGGAAGGAAATAACCATTCATTTTAGGAGCTTACTTGCTTTGCTTGCATAATGTTGAATGCTGTTACGAGCTTTTACTAATGGCCTCCTTAAAATTCTCTAAACTAGGAACAAGCTATTTGCTGATCTATACCTAGTATTATTGTGGCTTTTGTACTTATTCTGTTTTTTGTTGCATTTGTAGGGCACTGAAATGGTTCAAGCCCTCTGTCTTAAGTTTGATAGCAAGTCACAGTACTATCTCACTCGAGTTGAATTTTCATGTCTACAAACTTAAGGTTCCTCCAGGTCAATGGCATGAACCTCGCTGGTAATTTTGAAAATCTGCTTCCTCAGTTAAGATGGCTTTGTTGGCATTATTGCCCTTCAAATTTTTTGCCTACCAATTTTTATCTGAGTAATCTAGTCATAGTTGATCTCTCTTGGAGCAAGATCAGTGAATATTGGGAGGGCTGGCATCAAATCAAGGTAGGACATGCCTTATGACTCCTGTGATCTTATTCATGGCTCCATATTTCATTGTAACTATGTCTTTATTGCTGACTGTTGTTATTCTTGCAGATGTCGAAGAACCTAAAGGTTCTTAATCTTACGGGATGTACGTGCTTATACAGGAACCCTGATTTTTCTCCCTATGGAGCTCTCGAGATATTGATTCTTGAAGGCTGTGAAAGTTTAGTGGGAATCGATGCATCCATTGGTGGCTTAAAGCATCTTATTTCATTAAACATGAAGGACTGCCATTCGATCCAAGAGTTGCCTGAAAAGTTGGGCTCTATGGAAGCTTTGGCAGAGCTCATTCTTGGTGGAACCTCTGTACAAGAAATTTTTATGATGCCTGGAGGTATGAAGAAGCTCGAAACTCTTAGTGCTCGTGATTGTAAGTCATTGAGCCAGATTAGAAGCTCAATCAGCCAGCTGGAATCTCTCACATACCTTGCATTAGATAATGCAAAAATCACTCATCTCCCAGACTCTATTGGAGAGCTAGTGAAACTTGAGCGCTTATCTCTGAAAGGTTGTAGGTCAATAAACAGACTTCCAGACACCGTCGGGCAACTAGAGTCATTGGTCGAGCTGGATCTATCCAACACAGGGGTAACTGAGTTGCCTGATCCGATAAGCAATTTGAGGAACCTGAAAGTGTTGATAGTCGAGGGAAGTTACATGGAGCAAATACCAGTTGTTATTGGGATGCTGGAAAAGCTTGAGGAGATACATGCCAAGGGTTGCAACCTGGAGGGTGACATTCCTAGTGATATAGGGGAACTTGTATACCTGAGAATCTTGAGATTATCAGATAATCGCATTCGTAGGTTACCAGAAACTATTTGCAGACTCTCTCCTCTGCAGACCCTTGATTTGGAGTTATGCAAAGAGCTTAAAGGGCTTCCAGAGCTTCCTAGTAGTTTGATTAATCTACGAGTTAGTTCTCAGTCAACGGAGAAAATCCCAGATCTCTCCAATCTGATTAATCTGAGGCAATTGTATTTGTCCGATGGCTCTCATCTGCAGGGGTTTCCCACCAATGACCCAACCAAGCTGGTCCAAGATCCTAACCCTATGTGGCTTGGAATGTTATCCAAATTGGAGACATTGCAGCTTTCTCTCTCGAAAATCACTACATTACCAGCAAATATGGGTTTGCTTTATCGACTCAAGAAACTGGTATTGTCCTGCGTAGATCTGCAATCCTTTATTCAACTCCCCTCTAGCTTATCTACACTATATATAGGCAACTGCAAGTCTATGACAATTGTTCCTGATCTTTCAAACTTGAGAAATCTGTCAGAGTTGGAGCTCCTTCACTCGGCTATTTCAGAGATTCGGGGCATTGAAGGTTTGGAGTCACTTCACGTTTTTTATGAGATATACTGCAAATTGAAAAAGCTTGATGGGCTTGAACGGTTAAAATCCCTGAGGCGCTTGGTTCTACGTAACTGTGAGTCCCTTGACAGATTACCCAATCTCTCGAACTCGACGAAGCTGAAAGAATTTAAGCTGCGAGACTGTGAGAAGTTGCTTGAGATCCAAGGATTTGATAAATTGGAGTTATTGGAAGAACTGCAGATATCCCACTGCAGATCCATCGGAAGTTTACCTGATTTGTCAAACTTGAAAAAGATGAAAGTTCTGGAAATTGAGAATTGTGATAAGATCAAGGAGATTGGAGGGCTTGACAGATTGGAATCCCTGGAGGAATTGAAGATTTCGGAGTGCAGATCCTTGGAAAGACTACCAAACTTGTCAAACTTGAAGAAGCTGAAAAACTTGGAGATTGAGAGCTGCAAGAAGATAAGCGACATTGAATGCCTTGACCAGTTAAGAGTCCTTGGAGAACTTGAGGATTATTGGCTGCAAATCTATAGAAAAGTTGCTAGACGTATCGAACTTCAAAAGCCTGAAATCTCTGTACATTGAAGATTGTGAAAAGATACGTGAAATTGTAGGTCTTGGGATCCTGAGATCCATCAAAGGAGATAACTTTTTCTAGGCATGACACAGCTTTATTTTCTTCAAATTAACCAATGGTGAGCTGATTGTGCAGGAAAGCAGGCAAGAAGAAAGCACTCTAACGTTGTTTTCTTTCTTTCATTCTTTCTTTCTTTTAAAGATAGTGTCCTCCATATTTGTTCAGCTATAGATGCAACAGGATCCTTGACATAATGAAATAATTTATTTTACTATATATAAGTTCAGATTGTGCACATAATACCATATGAGCCTATGGTACCTTGCCTGCCTGGTTACATATTACAGGACTCAAGTCTTTTGTTAGATCTAAATATAATCCATATGGCCTTCACATTTTAAATGGGATGTGTCAGTCATTTCTTGTGGTTCTGATCCCTTGGTGAAAATATGTTGCCTTGGATAATCGATTTGAGCGATTCATCAGTTGTCCTGATGAAAGTTACACGACTCCGCTCCCTTTAGAATTAGGGTCTATCCTAATATAGACCGACTATCATGGGTAATCTCAATTGCATCCTCTATTTTCTTTAATTAAATTATCTTTGTCTGGTTTGGCGTAATTGAAGAAACAATATGTGAATCTTAAAGGGCATTATTAGGGGAATGACATGTCATGCTCGCCATCCTTTACATGACGCTACTTTATGAAGTAAAAAAAGAAAGTTTTCTATTTTTAAAGGATTATAATTTATAACCCCCCCCCCCCCCTAAATATCCTAAAACATTTGTTTTGCAAGTATTGAATTTATGGGCAAATGTGTGAATCATAATAATTCTCTTTAATCTCTCACATATTTTATTGTTATAACTTAATTTTTTTATCCTAAAATAACCATCCTGAAAGAGTTCAATCCCCTATTTTTTTATTCTTTCTCTATATTTAAATTTGTTTTCTTTCAGTATTTAATCCGTAATTTCTTTCCATTTAAAAGTTTGGTTAAAATATGGTTTTGTTTATTATTTTTTTTGGTCGGAAATGGTTTTGTTTATTTAAAAATTAGAAACAATCCCAAACTCTGTCCGGCAAAATTGGAATTTTCTCAATTTTTTATTTTATTTTATTTTCCTCCTATCTATCCACTTGTCAAACTGAAACTTAGATGACGTCCGCTTGAAGAGAATGAAGAAAAGCTTATTTCGGTTTCAATTCGAATTCATCGTGAACTGGTCATGGTGACGTGAAAAATTCCTATCAAGCCCTATAGGTGAGCAAAATAGATTGCCCAAACCCGGATCGGACCCGACCGGGCTGGACCGACCGATTTGGTCCAGTTCTCGAGAATATCGGTCTGGTTCCCAGTTCCTAAAAGTGAAACCGGTTTTCAAGCGGTCCAGTTCCCAGTTCTAAGGTGGGAATCGAACCGAACCGGACCGATAAATATATATATTTTTCTAATTTATATATATATATATTTATTTATTTTTTTAAATTTTGAAAAAAATAAAAATTCTAATCTAATTTTCTCAATTCCCTCTCACCTTTACCAATAAATAATTGGTCCCATTGGAATCGGTCCACGGTCCCAAAATGAGTGGGTCCGGTCTCCGGTCCTAAAAATTGAGAATCGATCCTCCCAATTCGGTTCCCGGTTCTTGGGTTGGACCGGACCGGATCGGAAACCGCTAAGCTCTATCAAGCGCACAGGCAATGATGGGTTTCAGTTGGTCTTCTCGTTGAGCCTCCTTCGTCTTGTAAACTGGCAGTGCTTCAGCGATTTGCCCCTGTCTCTCTCAAATTCGAGCATGGAGTTTGGAAGATCGCGACTGTTTCCGGGGAAATTTCCAAAGTCTCCACGCCGGGCCTCATTCAAGACTGATTCTTTCTTTGGATTGCGGGATTGCTTCTTGGGATTGGGCTCTGATGTAAAGTCAAAGATTCAGAGGATATTCAATTTATAGTCCCATGTTGTTCCCACGTCGGAAGCATCTGAAGCGAAGTTTCCCTTGTTTTACATACAGTTGAGACATGTTTGCTTGCGGAGATGGTTGGGGAGACATTCTTTTATTGCTTTCTCAAAAAGAATTGAAAATCAATCGTGTTCCTAGTATCTGACTTGTCTGAGGAAATTGCATTTTTAGAAAATTCTTGAACGTTGCACATGAAATTTCCGATACAATGATTAGGAAAGGTAGTTGGGTTTGGCTGAAGTAGTTGGTTTGAACAAGTAATCATGGGAAAAAAGTAAACATTTGTTCTCTCTCTCTCTCTCTCTCTCTCTCTCTCTCTCTCTCTCTCACTTAAAGTCAAATCCCATATGATGTATTGCGAGGTAGATTCCGGGAAAGTAGAAAGAAAAGTCATGTTGTATATCAGTTCAACAGATTCTGGGGCAGGCTTTTTTCTGCAGGTTGTTGGTGAAAAGGGGGGGCTAGAAGGTTTTACTGTTGAGATCCTCCTAATTTTTCTCGTCTGGTGACTATACAAATGGATAAAGCCAATGTCATTTTCGAGACCTACATTATGAGGGAAATTTTATCAAGAGATTTGGAGGAAAATTTTATTAAGAAATGTAGTTAGA